TTTGTAATATTTTCCAAAAGCCCTTAATGGTGATATTCAAGGAAAGAATGTACATTATTATAGAAAAGTCAAGGTCGGGTATTGAGATAACGTTTTTTCCATGGAAGATTGTTGTAACATAATGTTAAAGCAGACGCCTCCAGAATCGTGCTGATTTTCATGGAAAAAAAACAGATAAAATTAATTATAAAGTACATTTTGTATAAAATTGTGAAGTAACCAAAAGGAAGCAATTTGTACATTATCAATTGCACTTACATTCCATGTTATTTGCCAGAAAGATGTAAAAACATGCAAAAATAACCCTTACTGCGTTATTAACGCAGTAGAAATATAGATATAATTACTGACAAATCAGCCATTAATCGCACATTACATGTCAATTATTACTTGAAGCTTGAATTCTCATGCTTGATTGTATTGTAATATGTTGGCTTATCTGGAGGCATGCAGCTTTAAGATGTCAGATTGTCTCCTAATTGCTGCGTCTTAACGGGATATTACACATAGGTTTTGATTGGCATATACTCTCAGAGATATATCGAAATGGCTTTGTAATGCCAGAGGTCATTTACAACATGGCTGGTAGGATGACTGGTCAAATACTTAAACATTGCTGCCATGAATATAAATTAGAATGTAAATCACGTTACTTTTAAAGATCCTGTTACTCATTTTTTTATGGTTTTATATCATAAATATGATGCCAAAGTGAAGATGTATCAATATTGTAAGTTCCAAAAAACATTATTTGTAAAGATATTACCGAATTTACATTTCATGTTAATAAAAGGAGGAAATTAGAAATTTATTTTCTATAAAGTCGAAGTCAAATTTTTCAATAAGAAATGAAAGCCTATATTTTAATGATTACATATAATTGGGAAACTATTTTCATATTCTTCGATGTTTGAAAATTGTTTTAGAAGCATAATTATTACATATATAAAATTTCATATAAGTGTGGTAACAACATAAATTACAACATACAGGATCTTTTAACACTTGTTAAACATGATTGTTATATATTTCTTTGAGCTGCGTCATGACAAAACCAACATAATGGGTTTGCGACCAGCATGGATCCAGACCAGCCTGCGCATCCGCAAGTCTTATCAGGATCCACGCTGTTCGCTTACCAACCCTTTTACAAGTAGAGAAACTGATAGCGAACAGCATGGATCCTGATCAGACTGCGTGGATGCGCAGGCTGGTCTGGATCCATGCTGGTCGCAAACGCACTATGTTGGTTTTGTCGTGACGCGGCTCATATTTATTTATTCATTTTAATATGCTGCTTTATTTATTAACTTTACTTTATGTACTCTTGAGATGTAGAATAATCAGACAAATATGCTTCGTAATTGGCACTGGGTGTCGAGACATTGCAATTAGATATGTATTAATGGCATGCAAGGGATGTTAATAAATAGATGAACCATGAAATAATCCTTTTGATGTTGTAATAAGGCGCCTGAAAAACTGCACCATATTGCAATTTCTTCTTACTACTATATATGAATGCAAAACTTGCCGACAATTTAATGCTTGACAGACATAGCAATTATTGCAATGTGGCAGGAATAAATCAAATGGCAACATGGCAACAAACGAGACAGAAGACTTGAGACGTGCGTACAATTATTTACATTAATATAATTATACTCGTAAAATATATTAAGCGTTTTCACGATCATTTTAATCTTAATACTGATATCACCATCAGGGAAATCTCTTAGAGATTAAAGGCTATGCAAATGTCACCTGAAAAAAATATTTCAGTTACTTTTTGTATTTACAGAACTTAAGAGGTCTGTAATTGTTATTAAAGCTGCATGCCTCTAGATGAGCCAAAATATTTCCATAAAGTCAAGCTTCAGAATAATGTACTAAGATTTTAGAAAAAGTAAAAGATTCAAGCTTCTAGTAATAATTAACATGTAATGTGCGATTAATGGCTGGTTTTTCAGTAATTATATCTATATTTCTACTGCGTTACTAACGCAGTAAAGGCTATTTTTTGCATATTTTTGTATCGTTTGGGTACATAACATGGAATCTAAGTACAATTGATAATGTACAAATTGTTTCCCTTTGGTTACTTTTATACTTAATTTCCATTTTTTTCCATGAAAATCAGCATGAATCTGGAGGCGTGCTGCTTTAAGTATCAGATTACGAAATGCATACATATATCTAAAATAAAAGAAATAAAATTTAATTTCAATAAAAGGAAGTATAAACTCCCATTTGATATTATGGATACTCTTAATGAATAGGTACACAATGAAAATGACACAATAACATTGACAAAAAGTGTACTGATACAACAATTACTTGTCAATACAATTACATAATTACACTTCTTGTTTGTTTATCTGGAAAAGATCTCCACTGTTGTATTCAGATGGATAAACATTTGTGGAATAGAAGCATTATCAGATTGAGATAATGCGTTGTTGATTTGATTCCTATAAATAGCACAATGTACTAAATACGTAAACCTGTTTACTGTTGTACTTTTACAGAGACACTTTTATTCTGACATTGTATTTGATTGACAATATGTACTGCTATTTTCAGGGTGTTAATTAACCTGGACAGCTGTTTTTATATTTACAAAGAAAGGATAAGATAATGATGAAGACGTATCGTATATAAAACTATTTATTTTGTACAAAAGACAACATTTATTTACTTATATTAAATTATTTACTTACGTACATAAAACCAAAATATCACAATCACTTATTACGGAATCTGTTTGATGACACTGACAGAACCCTAAAAAAGAAATAAAGAATCCTTAATTACGCTCAAAAAGACAAAATTAAAAATGTTGCAGGCTCGGTTTCATCGAGTCTGTTCATGTTACCATAATAATGGAAAGTGCAAGTTACCATTCAAGTCCCCTAGCACCGACTTAAGCAGTATTCAACATTTAATATAAAATGGTAAAATTTGGAATTTTGAAATATCCGCAGATGTGTTCAAACGGCGGTTATCATGGAACCTTCAATGTGACGCGTTAGTGCCATTCCATGAAAAGCGGCATATTGTCTCAAAGTAAAAGAATGTGTGTGCCCTAACCGAGAAAACAATGGGCGAAACTAAATAAAATGGAATTTTGAAAGAGGATCAGAGGTTATGAAGCCTACATATCACAGATAAGATATCAAAAGACATGCTTATGGGGTTATTTCAAACAAGTCAGTTGCAGGGCACTGAAACATATTTAGATAATTTTCTAACAAAACTGCTGTTGGTATATTTCAAGCTTAGTATGCAAATAGTTATATTGCGTAAACTCAGAAACTAATTACGATGCCATTTCTTTAACAAAATAACCAGCCGTAATTCACGAATGTCAAATAATGTCTCGCTCGCAATTAATGGACTAAACCTTAGACTATTAGACAGTGTGTTTCATTTGTCAGTTGTTGATTTGATGGGTAATGGTTAACATGACTTGACTGAAAAATAGCTAGATAAGACAAAAATCAGTAAATTATTTGACTTTATACATTTAATAAAAAATAACCTATGCTAAAAGAATGATTTTGTCAAGCAGTCTCCCAGTACTTATTGCCTTCACTTTTTGCAAGGAACCGAAACGTCTGTACATACCAGAACAGAGTACAGTGCGAATGACCGAAGAAAAGATTTCATTATAAATAACACCAAAAATGGCCTGCGCCGTCCGGGAATCAAACCTTGGTCGCCCGATTCACAGTTCAACGCTCTATCTATTGAGCTATCCGGACGGCGTACACGACGTCTTCCAAGTGTCTTCTGGCTACATTATGCTTTACATGTGTAAATATACAAATAAAAAATCATTATATAAATTATTTTGATTAAACAATGAGTAAAATCCTTAAATCTATTGCGAACATGTGTCGTCAATCAATAAATTCGGACGATTTGACAATTAAAGACGAAAATAATGCAAATTGTCTGTTGACAATATAAATGACGGTCAAAATGAGTTGAACGGGAATGAGTGATCATTATGCGTGTCAATGCAGAGATCAGTTATGTTCAATGGCCTCAATGCTATACTAGATCTAACCTGGATGAATTAAATTTCGGTTTCTAACATATTATTTATCAGTGAATTTATAACAAACTTTTTTAGTTATGAAATTGTATATTACCACTGTAATAATTGATTCTTTAACAGTAAACGTAACATTCTTGTACCTGCATAAGTATGTTTATTTTATAAAAAAAACTTAGTCATAAAAGTTCATAAAGCATCATGCTAATGCAGTTAAAGGAAGGTTATAAAAGTTATAAATTCTGTACATCATCGGCGAAATAGTTCACTCCTTATAAACGAAAGACGCTGACTACTTCAAAGCAGCAGGCCTCCAGATTCATGTTAATTTTCATGAAAATTTTGGAAATGTATTTAAAGTTAAATATTGTGAGGGGAACAAATAAAGTAATTTACATATTGCAATCGGCACTTACAGTCCAAGAAAAATACCAAAAAAGGTCAACATAAGCAAAGGTAGCCCTAACTGCGTTAGTAACGCAGTAGAGATATGGTGATAAAATACTGCAAAATCAGTCTTAAACGGCACATTATATGTGAAATTTAACTTGGATTTGAATAGTTTCGGGAGACGCTCAAAATCCCCTTGATCATAATCCCCTTGGTTGATAAACGACATAGTGATCGAAATCCCCTCAACAGAAATGACAGGGTTATCATAATCCCCTTGGCAAAAATAAAGGGGTGGTCATAATCCCCTCAGTGGGTAGTCAAAATCCCCTCAAATAATTTCTTTTCTTATTTTTCTTTTTAGTTCAATGAATTTAAGAACCAACTGCTTCAAGAATTGCTGGAAAAAAAGAGAAAAGCATACAAACAATTAAAAGGTGTATGTTTGTCACAGCCAGTTAATAATGACACCCTTTATTGATGTTATTATTGCTGAGAAAATTGTAAAATACAAACAAATAAATGATAGTTGATTATAATTAATCATTGCAATTATGGCAGACTATGAGATAGCTATACACAATGCTGTGAGAACTGTATTGGCCAGCAACATTCATATCCAGGTAATAAAAAATAAGATCATTTGAAATAATTTATTTCAATGTTAAATGAAGTAAAATAAAAAAAATTAAATGAAACCATTTATTTCATTGCTAAATGAAAAAAAATAAAAAAAAAAATTAAAAAAAATAAATGAAACCATTTATTTCATTAAATAAAAAAAATAAATGAAACCAAATTTCTGTTAATAATTATACAAGCCTTTAACATGTCTGACGTTGAATCAGGATAAAAGTTGCTGAAAATGAATCATTCAATATATATATCATTCATATTCTTGTTTAATTGTATTATAATATGTAAAAGACTATTTAAACAGCATATTAAAACCTTTTTTTTTTACACCATCTAGGGATGTTTTTACCATCTAACCCAAGCTACTTGGAGAAGAGTGCAAGCAGAGGGTCTTCAGTCTGACTACAACAATGATGATGATGTGAAATCCTTCTGCGGAAAGCTTGACGGTCTGGCGTTTCTTCCATGCAGCGATGTGCAAGAAGGCTTGACGTTACTACGTGAACAGGCCCCAGATCATCTACAGTGTCTGGTTGAGTATTTTGACTCCAACTATGTAAATGGATCCTTTCGCGCAGTCATCACTGCTAATGGAAATATGAGGTTCCGACGCTCCTCTCCAAGATTTCCTCCACCAATTTGGAATGTGCACAGTGCCACAATGACTGACCAGGATAGAACAAATAACCAGTGTGAATATTGGAACAATGGGTTTAAGCACCTTGTTGGACATTCAAATCCTTCACTTTGGACAGTTGTGCAATGTGTTGAAAAGGATGCAAAAAATGGTGGCAGCTGAAATTCTGAGATGTAATCGTGGTGAACTTCTACAGAAACGAGTGAAGAAGGCCACTAAAGCTCACCAGCAGAGACTGAAAGTTTTGTGCTCACAGTACGCAAGTGGCATTAAATCCCTTGAAGACTTCTTGGGTGCTCTGGGACAGATTATCAGAATAAAATAATGTCGGTGCTATGTAAATTCTGTGAATGTGCTAACATATGTAAAATGTGCTGTCAGAAAATAAATAAGAGTGAAATATTATGTCTGGTTTTATATTTTATATTAACATGAAAATGACAACATTGGAGTATTTAAAAATAACCTGTATTATATTGCTAAAGTATACTCCATACTCTTTCCTCTACTCAATGTAATTGCTGTTTGCAACATTTCTTTATGTAACACAATAGTTTAGCTGGAGTGACAAAAGATCAAAGGAAAAAGAATATTGAGTAAAGGGGGTTGTTTTTCACAAGTTGAGGGGATTTTGACCACCCCATCATTTTTGCCAAGGGGATTTTGACTATCCATCAAGGGGATTATGAACACCCGGTCATTTCTGTTGAGGGGATTTCGATCACTATGTCATTTTTCAACCAAGGGGATTATGATCAAGGGGATTTTGATATACACTTTCTTAAAATGTTAGTACATTTTTCTCAATATTGATTTTTTCTAAAATATTTTGGCTCATCTGAAGGCGTGTAGCTTTATACGGGGTCTTTCAAATATTTCAATTCTATTTGAAAGACCCTGCTTTATATAAGAAATTTAGCTTTTTTCTGTTTCCAACAAAAAACATAACAATTTGTGGTGGACAGAAATGACTTGTATCTAATTGATCTTTAAAGTCAAATGTCTGTTAGTTACTTTTGTATTTAAATGTCAATTCAATGACGAAGAATGTATTTGTTTTATATTCAACAACATTAAACCTGTCTCAACCTGCAAATGTTAACATACGTCACTCAATTAGTGGTATTAAACAAAAGAAGTCGCCTAATTTTGTGTTCTCATCATTCTGGTGATTTGACAGTGGTCAAAATGAGGTGAATACTAAATAACCTGACTAGACAAGTCATTATAATCTTTGAGATTACATCATGTCACGTCCAAATTATTATCATAGTTAGTAATATTCAGCTAATTTCTTGCAATTTAATACGCGCTATATGAGATGAGATAAAGTATCAATAACAAGAACAGAGAGGTCAACTCACAAAATAGTCATATAGCATTTTGCTTTATAATAAGTGGGCAATATTACCATAAACTTACAAATTATGTTTTACAACTGTTTCTAACTTTTTTGTATTCTTAGACAATATCGGCCCTTTTTCTTTTATATTTTTAAAGATATGTTTGGAGAAAAAAAACTTAAAAAAGCGTGACTAACATTGTGGTTTACAAATAAATTTATTATTTTTGATATGTTTAAACACTTTTTAACCAAGGCAGGCATTATCTGTGCTTCAAATTATACTACACATGATATATCAGTTCTGCATAAAATCGGTGGCCATATTGGACGCCATCTTGAATTCTGATGAGGTATAAAGGAGGATTTTATTTGTAGAGTTACAATTTTGTAAAGGAGAAACTTTAAACATGCTTAGGTGAAAGTTTCAGGTCTGTACAAACAATGTCACTGAATGAGCTATTATGTACGTCAAATTTATATGGCGGCCATTTTGAAAATGGCGGCCATCTTGAATGAGCAGAGATATGTTTGACATTTACGTGGCCTAAAGATGATTTCCTGAAAGTTTCATGCTTGTATCACCATTTGCACTACTTTGACGTCAGAGACCTTATTTCCCGCCCCACTAAGTATATGGATAACGCTTTATGTAATTAATATATTCATAACGCTTAGTGTAACGATATATTTATGACGCTCAACGTTTTATTATAAATAAATGCTTAGTGCAAAATAAAATATTTATTATGCTTAGTGTGTTGTTAAATTGATAACGATCAACGTTTTAGTAAAATGATCACGCTTAGTGTTGAAATAGTAGAATATTAAAAGTGCTAAAGCAATGTAAAGATGTTTGACAAAAACTAATATTTTAAATATAATCACATTTACTATTGCTGAATTTCTTTCTTGTAACTGCGTATATTTTTCTTACAAACATGTGTTATTGAAAAGATATTATGAATGCAATGTTCAGAGAACATTTTTTAAATCATCTTATTGTATAATTAAACAGTATTTAGTTGTACAATGCAGCAAGAATGAAGGTTTTTATATACACATTCGTTGTGTGTTCCCTACTTTCACAAGTACATTTAATATTTATGCCATTGGGAAGTGAACTTCTGCAGTCATTCTGTTGAATTCCATAAACTAGCTTAATTCATAAAGTTGTGTAATTTCTATCAATATCCCTTAATGATGCTCAATAATTGAAATTCAATGTTATTCATCAAAAGAAAAAACAAGGTCGGATTTTATAAATACGTCAAAGTTTCGTCTTAACGGGATACAACATAAAGTATTTGAGTGGCATGAACTCTCTGAGATATAAACAAATGGCTTTGAAATGACATAGGTCAATTCCAGCAGGGCTGGTCAGATAATTTGTTGAATAATTAAACATTGCTGCTGTGAATATAAATAAGAATATTAATAATAAATCCTGTTACTTTTTAACACTTGGCTGCAAAGTATTAACGTGAATTGGTCTATAATGGACGGTCTGTAATTCCATACAAAATATATTTATAGTATATATTTTCATATGTGATGACAAACGAACAAACAACAAAATAATCATAAATTGAAGCGAGAGGTACATGATCCGATATTACATTTCTTTATATAGCAGATAACGAATTGTTCAAGAACAAAATAAAAAATTTCATGATCATATAGTTATTTATACTTAAACAATTAGGACTCTATCATCATTTTGTTTAATAGATATTTCATAACAATATTCTAATGGTACAGTATATTTCTATTGCTTTTATAAACATTTCAAAAAATATATATCAATGATTCAATGGGTCCTTTGTAGACTAATTCACTTTAACTAATTTGTTTAAATCTGCTGTTTGACGTAACTTTACATTTATTTATATGCTTTGATAATGTAGAATTATTCCACGTTTATTACAGACAAAGCATCCGCAGTGATCGACATAAGGTGTCGCGACATTGCAATGATATTTTGTATTTATTACATACCAGGGGGTTTTAATAAATTAATGAAAAAAAACCAGTCAAAAAAAAAAAATATCCCCCATTTGATGTATTACTATGGTGCCCGTAAAAATGCCTCAAATTTTGCAAATTTACACACTCAGATGTATGCAGAACCTGCCGACAATTTAATGCTTGACAGACCGCAGCAATTAAATTGCAATGTGGCCAGACTTGCGTCATATGGCAATTAATAGAGACGACAGACTCTTGTAAGGCTACTGATTACTTGCATAAAAATAATATTTGAGTATAAGTCATGTTGCAATTTTCATTTTCATTCTTAATACTAGCATTTCGATAAGGGAATGTTCTTAAAGATTAATGGTTATATAAATGTCACCTTAATATATATATAATATATTATATATATATATATATATATATATATATCCAAAAATGTAAAGTTTAAAAACAATACGGATAAAAATAGCGGGAAAAAAAAGAATGAAGTGATGCCTTTTCCAGTTTACATTGCAATGGTTTATTAACAAAACTGTAATAAATAATTGAAGAGAAATATCAACCGGTTTCACCCGTTAAAGGGATCTTTCAAGATAATGACGTTAATAACGTCGCTTGGTAACGACGTCAAAACAGTGTAAAGGGACGTTACTTCTTATAACGTTTTAAAAGGGACATAATAATAAGCTATAATATTATTGTTATATATATATCAAAGTTATTTTGAATTCAATTCTGGTTTAAGAACGTTTATTAAAACAGTTTCTTTCATTCTTCTTTTTGAATGTGTCTGGTTCTCGCATTTATAGATTGGCATTATATTAAACTTATATGGAGTGATGTCTTTTGCGCAAAATGGCAATGTGTCGACTGACTGGTAATAATGCATTGTCTGGATTTCGTATATTTGGTTGTGTAATGTTACTCGATTTCTTAAATTTGAATGTTTCTCCAATATAATCTTTTGGAAACCCATTACATTTCAATGCATTAAATTACATTTCTAATGTCGCATGATCCTGAAGAATTTTACTTTAAATTCGCGGCCATCCTTGAAATGGTATGTATTTCCTTCTATAATGTGTTTGCACAGGCCGCATTTTAAACTGCTGCATCTTTTTTATTTTATTCTTTCTCAGTGTTGAAGAAAATCGTGCCCTGGTCAAAAGTTTTTTCAGATTAGCCCCGGTTGTCTTTTACTTTAATTATATGGCTTTCTTGTCAATAATTCCTTTCATTATTTTCATCATTTTGTAATATTGGTAGATTTTTCTTGTATTACTGTGAAAAATTCGGTATTTCCTTGGATTATGTGTTTGACACGTATGGTATAACTTTTCTCGTCCGTCTTTAGTTTGTCTTTTCCCGTAGTTTTCGGATTGTTCTATTGCAAAGCTCTCTGGATGCCGTTTTCTATAAGTTTCTGAGGATATTTTAAAGAAGCCAGGAATTTGTTTAATTCATTTAATCTGAGATGTAATACGTTCTCTATTAATATTACAAAGTCGTCTAGCTAGTGGAGAATGGGATGTTTTGTTTTGTGTGTTTTGGATGACAAGAGTTGAATAAAAAGGAATTATGTTTACTGTCAGTAGGTTTTATCAGTAGATATCTGTTTCTATTTTGTCACCTTTTAATTTAACTAAAAACATCCAGAAACGGCAATTTCTCTATATTTGTTTTCCATTGTGAATTTTAAATCTTTATGAAGGTTATTCAGTAGAATGTTAAAGCAATTCCCAATTCGTGCTTAGATTTAGGCCATAAAATAAAACACATCGTCTAGAAAAGCGTTTTCCAGTAATTGATGATATAAATTTTTTAATTCGTATTAATAAATTTCTGCCCAATTTTTGGATTAAAGAAACAGTTTTCCTCCTCCACATAGCCTAATACCCAAGTGTTGCATACACTGGAGCAAATTTTGTGCCCATGGCAGTGGCCTTTTATTTGTCTGAAAAAACTTATCATTAAAAAAGAATTGTATTATTCTTTAAGATGAATTCTGTGGCTGAAATGATGAAATTCTTTGTAAATCTAGTATGTATCACGTCCAAATGATTTTCAACCCAAAATTCTATTGATT